TAAGAGGAAGCATTTCTTGAATGTTTTCTGTGTGTCAGGGACAGTGCTAAGCACATTGCATTCATTATTACACCTAATCCTCACAACAGTCCTCACGTGTATAATATTGCTATCCCCATTTTTACAGTTGAAGAAAGAGGCTCAAATAGGTTGACTTGCCCAAGGTCAAATAGCTAGTGAGTGGCAGAGGCAGGACTCGAACTCCTAAACACTGTGGTACATCACACTCCTAAGCAGGGGTTCTCAAAGAGTGGTTCCTAGACGAGCAGCATCAGCATTTCCTTAGAACTTGTCAGAAATGCGTATTCTCAGCTCCATTCTAGGCCTGCTGAAGCAGGAACTCTGGGGGAGGGACCCAGCAATCTATTTTAGCAACCCTTCTAGGTAATTCTCATGCATGCTTGAGTTTGAGAACCACTGTTAAACAATTATTAAGTAAGTATTATAAAGCTCATTTATCACATATAAATATAAATTAATATGTATAATTTGTCAATATAAAATGCTGTTCCCTAAGTTTGCTAATGTTGTTAAGGAAGCAAGCCCAATGCATATAGAACAACAAGTTAATAAGTATATAATCAAGCGAAAAGTTCACACTTCTGGCCATAAGCACAATAAAGAGGGGAAGTAGGAACGAAGTGATGTTTGAGCGTCTACCATGTGTTAGCTACTGGGGTTAGTCGTGACCTTTTATATGTATGATCTAATTAAGGAGTTCAGAGAAAGGATCACAGCAATAGTGAGGAGTCAGGACTCTTGTCCTGAAGAATAGGGTGCTTAAGCTGAACCCCGAAGGACTGTTGAATGAAGGTAGGCAAGGCAAGGGAGCGATGCCACCATCCAGTCTGACAAAGCGGTCAGGCTTGAGTGCAGAGATCCCAGGCAGAGTGTGCTTGAGTAAGCTATTCTCATCTCTAAGAGTCTGTTTTCTCGTCCATACTATTGAGGTAACGGGGTTGTCAGGAGGATTAAAAGGAAATGTGTAAAGCGCCTGACCTCCTCTTCCTATGAGTCTAGTACGTAGTAAGTGCTCAAAAAGCGTTGTTATTAGTGCAGACAGGAAGCATTCGATAAAAATTAGCTCTCTTTCCCGAGTCCCGTGATTTGGGGGAATAGCCTGTCTGTTTGCCAAATGGCTTGCAGCTTGTCTTTGTTTTAGGATAACTACATGTTATCTTTTCAATTCGTACTCACGAATTTGGAGCGCTAGAACTCGGAGTGCTCGGAGAGCAGGAGTTTTTTGTTTGTTTTGTTTTTATGTCTCGTTCACAGTTGCACCTCCAGTGCCTAGAACAGAACCCAGCACGCAGGAGCCGCTCAATGAATAGTCTGTAGAATGAATTCATGAATCTGCAGGTTAGAGGACGTGGTACAAATAACCTTTCCAGTTTGCACAGATAATCAATGATCGACTTTATCTGGATGACTGAGCCTATCTCTTCCCGCTCATTACCTGCCAATTTGTTCTGTCTTGGGCAGATTGAGCACAGGACAGGGGCAGGGATGGGTGCAGGTGGTATGGGGTCTTCCTCTCTCCCAACTCCATGGGAGGGTGGGGACTGTGGGTCTCAGAGCAGCAGCAGTTACAAGAGGCCTTCCCGGGTCCTCTACACGCACAACCACAGGGAAACGGCCAGCTGAAACCAGTACATAATGACTTAGGGGAAAATGAATATTTGGGATAAATTATCTGGATGTCTACCTTCACTGTAACCGAGGGAACCTGATTCCAGAAAAGCCCCACCCTCGTTTCTGAAGTTGTTTTTCCTGGTTGGAGGGGTTTGTGGGGAGGTTGGGGAATGGGCAGAGGGTGGGGGCCAGTTTTCCTGGAAGGCTGGGCTTTAACTGTGATATTCAAGTGTAATATTGCCACACACTGTTGGATGTTTGGGTGTCTACCCCTCTGAGATAGAAGGTCCCCCTCGGGGACTACACTCTCTTTCCTATCAGGCCTTCAACAGAAGGCAGGCAAGGAGGTAGGGGTGGGTGTGTTCTGTGATCTGCACTTTGACAAATCAATTCGCAGCCTCCTCTGGCAGTTTGGTTTAAGTAAGCCTCCCCAGGCTGTGCTCCTGATTTTATAAACATTCAGCTAGATCCTGCCAGAGCCAGCACGGCACTGCCTGGCCCAGGGCCGCTGACTGTATTCACCACTGAATTTTTAAAAACAGAAGTACAGCCTAGCCATGAACCCCACCAAATTCATGTCTGTTATCATGGTCGATGTCTAACATGGAACCCCTCCCAACATCTGTCATGTCTAAATTCGGACACTGCAATCAGATAGCACAGTATATTCCCATGCCTTTCACTGAAATCACCTTTATTTTTTTCTTCTGTTGCATAGCAATATAAACAAAACACCACAGTCCACCACACTGCATATGTTGGTTTCAAGAAAAACCTGGGCGCTGTTTATTCCTTGGTTTATTGTTGTACGCTCAGCGTTTTCCTATCATTGTGCTATACCGAGCAACTTGGTGTTAGCGACCGACAGGAAGCAGGACTGCTCATTGTTGAAAGTCACATGCCATATATGGCTTGTCTGAAGTTTCTCTCCTTTCCTTCTCACCACTATTCATGCAGCTTTGGGGTTTCAGTCGGTGATGTCTAGCAGGTGCTGTTGGGAAAGACTGTGTCCCGTGGGCTGGGGAGTAAAACATATTTGACCCTACTGAAGCTTACACAGGTTGCCTCCTCCACTTTGTCAAATTGAATTCAAACAGCAACTTCAGAGCTACCACCTGTTCAGAACACTGGTTTAGAAAAATACCTGAAGAAAGTATTCTTTGGAGTCCACCCAAAAGCTAGACCACCCCAGAAGGCAGACAGGAATTTCCTTGGCCTTCTTGTAGGATAGTCTTTGTTTCTGATTTCTGTCTAGGGGGGGAAGATAGCAGTGGAGGCCAGCCTCCCCTAACGTGGACAAGAGGGGCCTAGCGTTGCTGGAGGGGACAAGGAGTCTATGACAGGGCCAGTGTGTGGAGGCTAGAGGTATAGTGCCAGTAGTCGGGTAGACCTCGGACAGGTCCAGGCAGTATGGCCATTCAAATCCAGGAACTCAACGCCAGGAAGGTGGATACTGGCATCACACTGCCTGGGGTTGTTCTTGCCTGTATTATTTACTAACTAGGGGACCTTGGACAAGTTGTTCAACCTCTTTGAGCCTCAGTTTTCTCATCTATAAAATAGACATAATTGAGTACCAACATCCATCTGTGATTTTTGTGCAGATAAAATGAGTTACTATAGGCAAAATAGTAAGTATAGTACGTGTGCATAGGTAACACTCAATAACGTAAGCTATTAGCAGCAGTCATATTTAAGCATTAGAAGTACAAGTAGAAACCAGAATCCAAGAGGTTCATAAAGGTAAAGAGAAGTGGCAGATAGGTGGCCTAGGTCCAACCGGCCAACTAAAAGGGCAAGAGTTTCATAGCTTCCGAAAGGCACGGAGTCCAAAGGACAGATGTCCTCCTCTGCAGTTACTCAGGAGACATATGCTGACGACCTACTGTGTGCCCGGCACCCTGCCAAGTGCTTGGGCACTCAAAAATGATTAAGACACAGTCCTTGACCTTGAGACGCTCATGCCTCTATGTTAGCGCTCCATTTTCCCTTTCACTGTGGCTTATTTCCTCTCTAGTGTCTTTGCTCCTCGAGGGCAGTGACTGTTTCTTGCTGGGATCCTCCTTTGTCTCTCCGCACCTAGAAGAGGTTCAGCGGTCACTGGCAAAGCTCTGGCCAACAGGACTACGTTCACTGATGGCAGCACAAGGGCTGCCTGTTTGTGCCCTGCTCTCACTCTCTACTACCAAGGGGAAAGCTTTGAGAAGCGATGGGAAAGCCTTTGGTGATTGCTGCCCCTCTAACTTCAGTGTGTCTGCGAATCATTGGAAGATCTTGTCCAAATATCCACTTTGCTCAGTAGGTCTGCATCTCTAACAAGCCTCCCAGTGATGCTGATGCTGCTGGTCTAGGGAATACACTTTGGTTTAGATGTGGCCTGAAGAGGTCAAAGACCTACTGGTGGCTCTCATTTCTGAACGGGGCAGAGAGTACCCTTTGTTTTGGCTTCCTTATGGCATTTCTCTTAAAAGACTTTTTTTTTTTTTTCACATTAAGACTTGATGGTTTCTAGAATTACCCAGTGACCCTGTGTCCATTGTTCACTTCATTTCACTGTGCAATTCTAGAACATGCATGCAATATCCTTATGTCTCCAACCATGTGTGACAAAAAAGAACATAACCTCCATCCCCTACGTTAATATTGACCATTAACATCACAACAGGGCTGTTCTCCTGAAGTAAGTGATGCTGTACTGACCACTGAGGCAAATCACATCATGGTTGCTAAAGAATTCGGAGAAGGAATTGAGGGAGAAGCAGGTAAAATGAGAATATCCGATTGGCTGAGAGCATATCTTACAGATGAGTAAGGGTTACCTTGGCCGGCCTTTTTCATCCTTTTTGGATTTAATTGGACACAAAAATAATAATGCTAATTAACATTCATATGATGTTTTAGTTTACAAAATGCTTTCACATGCCTTATCCCATTTGATCACAAATTGCAACGGGCCCATGACATAATGTAATTATCCCCATTTTACAGATGTGGAAGCCGAGAGTCAGGTCCAGTATATGAGAGGCAGGAGAGAGGTTGAGAACATGACTGATCAGTTTAAGACAGAGGAAAAGCAAGATGGGAATCGAGAAAGGGTATATATGTATCAAGAGACAGTTTTTAAACTTAATTTCAGGAGCAAAACCTTGAGGAAGAATAGTAAGCATTATATAAATGTAAGCTGTGTGCCGCTGCTTTCCTGAGCGCATTTTCTACATTAGCTCCTTAAATCCTCACTCCAATCTCCGAAATAGCAGCTATTGTTACCCCTCGTTTGCACAGGAGGAGACAGAGGTGCAGACACTTTAAGAGACTTGGCGGGGACTCCGAGCCAGCCAGCGACAGAGCTGGGTTTCCGTGTGTGGCCCCAGACTCTCTGGTGTCAACCACTCTAAGTCTGCAGACCAGCAGGAGAGAAGGTTGGAGCTGTGATGAACCTGTGCATTCCAGTATGGTGACCGTGCTACTAACCATATGCGGCGACTCAGATTTAAATTAGTTAGTATTAAAAGAGACTTAATATTCAGCTCCCCAGTCATAGTAGCCCCATGTCAAGTGCTTGATAACCATAGGGGGCTAGTGGCTACAATACTGGACAGCACAGAGAGGGAACATCTATATTCACATCACTGGGAAAAGTTCTATTGGATAGCTCTAGCCTAAGTATAGTTATTCTTTCTCTCTAAACCATTTTTTCTGTTTATCTCTCATTAGGTCTTATAAAACTAAAGAGAGAGGGGAAGTATAGTTTTTAGAAAGGGGCACTGACGTCTGGAGTATCAGATGATTGAGAAAACTCAAGGGGATTCTAGCTATCCTGGAAAGAGCATAGAGCTAAAATAAAAGTGAGGGGAGACAGGTAGCAGAAGACTTAGCTATTGGTACCATGGGACTGGTGTTTCCTACCTTGAGTAGGATTCAGTTTTCAGTTTGACTGTATGTAGTAACATTAGCACGTCTATCACCATAATGAAACTAAGTGCCACTCCCACTCCTAACACTCACTCCCTCTCCTAAGTGTGAACCGTGAACTCATTTAACCTCTTAGGGAGGCACTGTTATTACCTCCACTTTGCAGATGAGGAAGCTGAGGGTTAGAGGGATCAGGTGTTTTGCTCAGGATCACAGACTAGTAAGTGACAGAGCCTGATTCCAATCTAGGATGCCTAGAACCTCCGCCTGTCGACACCGCAGCACTATATGGTGGATGTTTTTGTTATGATCCAGCCCGAGGGCATCACTATGCAGTCAGAATACTCAGAAGCGGTAAAATTTTCAAGAAGAATCGTTGGCAGTGTTCCCAAGTGCGTGCCAAGCCCCGTCCTCCCCATTGTAATGGTGGTTGGGAAAGAGTCAGCTTATAAACTGGGGCACGGAAGTTGGGCGAGGATGGCAAAGCCCCCTGTGGAGCAGGGCCTGGTGCCCTGAAAGTTGCTGTCGCTCAGCCAGGAAGCCCATTTGCTCTCCCTGCACACGCTCGAATCTGTCCGGTCCCCTGTTAATGCCCCAGCGCTGTCTGCCTTCACGGCACAAATGGCTTCTGGCAAAATTGCTGTTAAGTAAAAGCTCTCTAGAACACCAAGCTGGACTTTCAGGATTTCTCCGGGATTCCATCCAAGCTAACTTTTTAATAAACCAAAGCTTTTAGGCTTGTTCCAGTCTGACCTGAGTTCTACCTGAAACATTTATTTCCTCCTGTTGTTTCTCTGTACCATCTAAAACTGGATGGAGAGCATTATCATAGATTGATATTTAAGAATCCTATGTATCTCAAGAATAATTCTTGAGATACCTTGAAAGATATTAGGCTCTAAAACAAATATTGCTTCATGCCCAGTCTTTGCTCATATAAAGCTTGATACAGATGAGATATCACAGTAGGCATTGGAGCCCTCAAGGTATATGTCTACTCAGAGGGCGAGCCTGGGATAAGAGCCAGCCAGGTGTTGTAAGGAGGAAGTCAGAGGATGTAGAAAAGGCCATTACTGTGCTCCTGGGAAGTCATCCGCTAGGTGAGCTAAGGCAGACAGCGGATTTCATTCACTTCAGTGACTTGGTGGGTTGGATGTTAGTTCTGTATTTGATCTTCCCTTGATGAAGCCATCTGCTCACTGGAATCATTAGCCAGCAGTCTGTGATATTTGTGTTGCTGTCAAAGACAACTATACGGCCATCACCTTTCTCCTAATCCTTGCTGATCCTTCCCCCCCTCCTCCTTTGCCCTGTATCTCTTTAGAGACAAGGCGTTGTGTAGAACCACTGAGTAAATGCAACACACTTTCCAGCACCTGTCTTGTATCTGCTTTGGGGTGGAGGAAAGCTCCACCCCAGGTTAGTTTCCTTCTCCTGTCCCCGGGGTGACCCAGCACTTCCACACTCCCTCCCACGCAATGCCATGCTGGTTGAGCCACACAAGTTAACTTCCTAATGACCTAAACAAGCACAAGAAGGTGTGTTTGGCTCAAATCTATAACCCGGCATTCTTTCCAGAGAGGACATGCTCCTGATTCTGTCACGATGTTGATTGCAGAACATTACCATCAGTGCAGAGAATTCAACATGGATTGGTTTTAAAATATATCCTTACCCGGAGGCAGTCTTTCGGGAATTTCTGAAGCACAAGCTTGTTCTAATGAAACCGTTATGAGAAAAATAATAGGGAAAATCAGAAACCCTGGTATCTAACTGGCACATTTCCAAGCTAACATACACTGCTGCAGCCCTGCCTCCCCGTTACACCTCACCTGCTCCGGATGTCAGGGCAAAGGCAGCGAGCTTCCTCAGATCTCCTGTGGCCTTTGGCTCTTGGGTTTCTTCTGACAAAATCCTCGATTTTGAGAAAGTGCTGCCTGCCTCCTTTCACTGAATAAGGGGATGAAAATCTTGGGAGCTGGCTTTCCTCCTTGAGAAAATTAGTGTCACCGTCCAGAGCAAATGTGCTTCTGACGTTTGCCTGCTGAAAGGATGAAACTCCATTACCCTTATGGTATCATAATGTGGTTTGCAATCACATCAAAACTGTGAGTGCTCATTACGTGATTCCATCCGGGATGAGAACTGCCCCCGAGCTTAAAAGCTTTTAATGGAAACTCTGGGGTTCAAGTGTCATTTCCAGCTTTGCGTGACTTCATCCCAAAGAAGAGATTTGCAGATGAGTTGGGTTGTGGGCGCACATGGGGTTCACCCTGGAGAAGCAAGAATACAAAATTGCTTTGGTTCAGTCTTTCATTCGAGTCCTTGATTGCTGCTCTAATTGCAATCATATGTCCCTGCCTGTAAAAGGCGTGTGGAGATGTACCCTGTGTCCATGCATGAGGGGACAGCACACATCCGCACAGGCTTAGGAAACACGGAAGTGGATAACTACCTGCGCTGGTTTTGTTTTGGTTTTCTGTGGGAAAGTGTTTTGCTGAGTATATTCAGCAGTGTGTTCACACAGTGCCTTCCAAGGTGTCTGCACAGTGTTTCCCAGGCTCAGATGTTTTTGAAAATAGTATTTTGCAAAGTATTCCCTTGGGGGGCAATCATTCCTGTCAGCCTGTCTTAGTCAAGTCAGGTTGCCATAAAAAAAATACCATAGATTGGCTTAAACAACAGAAATTTATTTCTTACAATTCTGGAGGCTTGGAAAGTCAAGATCAAGGTATTGGCCGATTGGGCTCTTGGTGAAAGCTTTCTTCCTGGAAATCAGATGGCTGCCTTCTCACTGTGTCCTCACATGGCAGAGAGAGAGAGACAGAGAGGGAGAGTGCGGGCTCTAGGGTCTCTTATAAAGGCATCCCATCATGGGTCTCTCACCATCATGACCCCATCTAAACCTAATCATCCCTCAAAGGCCGCACCTCCAAATACCATCACACTGCAGGTAGGGCTTCAGCATATGAATCTGGGTGGTGGTGGAGGACACAGTTCAGTCCACAGCACAGCCTAAATGGTAACCTTGTGAAGGCCCTCCACTCTTGCACGTAACAGATGTCTGTTGGGAGCCTGCTCTACAAGGCTGAGGGGTAAATCAACATACACCCTGTCCCTACCCTCATGCAGCTCAGGCCTTAGTTTTTTTCAATGCCAGAAATATTTACAACGGATTATGTTTTTAATGTTTATTTATTTTGAGAGAGACAGAGCGGGGACGGGCAGAGAGAGAGAGGGAGAGAGACAGAGAATCCCAAGCAGGCCCGCCATGTCAGCAGAGACCATACACGAGGCTCGATCCCAAGACTGTGAGATCATTGACTTGAGCCAAAATCAAGAGTCAGGCACTTAACCAACTGAGCTACCCAGGCACCTCTGAATTCCAGAAATATTTAAATAGATGGGTTACATGAGACATGAAGGAAAATACATACGCAGGCCAGCGTAGGTTTCCCAGAGGAAGTGACAAGAGAGCTGATAGCTGGGGGGTGGAGATGGGGGGCAAGTTGGGGAGCTCAGGGGATGGGGAGGGGAGGAGAGCTTTCTAAGCTAAAGAAACAGCAAGAGAGTAAGAGCGGAGGCCCTCAAGTGTGAGGAGGAATTGAAACTGTGTCTCCCATATAGGTGAAAAAATATGTACTGAGAACTTCCCCAAGTGAAGCTTTTTTTACCCAAATAGGGGACTTTCTGCTGGGTTTAGTTATCAGATAGCAGAGTGGCATGTATTTGCTTTTTATGATTAAGGTTTGGCTGGCCGCCTCTGGGTGTAGGTGTGGGTGCAGGTGGGAAGCTGGGCAGCCCTGGGCACCAGGGTCTGGGGAGTGATCTTTGCATTTTCGCATCTCAGCACAGCCCACTTTCCAACTTAGTGCCTTCCAAAGAACCATGTTTGTGATCCATGAAATCTTTATTTTCTTTAAGTGAAAAAAATATGTCCTCAAGATGGAACATTTCATCAGCAATCCTAGGAAAGTAGAAATAAATACAGCAAAATAAAATTGAAATCCTTTGACAAGTTCTGCTTTGTGCCAGATGATCTGTTTCTGACAGATAGCCATTCCTTAAAGGAAACTTTTTGCTCATCCACTTTCTTAAATGCTTTCTGAGCAGGTCTGGAGACCTCTCCGCTGCTACTTCAGTTTTAGAACACAAACTGCCTTCTCTAAAGACATATGCTTACAATTTGCAACTTTGTGTCCTGCAAACGCTCTGGAGTATGGTTAGATACTGAAACCACTTGCCTGTGAAGATGCATAATATAGTTGTATCTGGTGACCCCCTATTTAATGACATGGATGTCATTAAATCCCTTCACTGTTACCTTTTTCCCCCTATTTGATTCCTGTTCTCTTTTTAAATGGCGGGCACACTTTTGCCCTCAAAATTCTGTTTCATCGCATTCTCTGAGTTCGTAATGCACAGTTCATCCTCAGAAAAGAAATGTGACACAAAGGATAATGATATCTGGCATCTTCTCGTGGGCTGGTTCTGTGATTGAATTCTTGCCTGCAAGGTTTGTGTCTGTTGTGGACCACCCGGTGGGAACCAGCTTCTCCATGAGCCCCTGAGATCCTCCTGAGAAGGAACTGGGTCTTCCTTTCCTATGAATCTTTGGCTCCTGGCTCACAATAGATGTTCAATAAATGTTTAAGTGACCAACATCAAAGTCCCACTCATGCTGCTGTAGGAAAACTTCCATTCCTAGAAAAAACAACATCTCTAGTGAGAATTACTCCAGAGGCATGAGGATTGGTACGAGTCCTGGACACAGGGGCAGCCCTCAGGAAAGTTCTTTAGTTAGGAGAGTGGATCCTTTGTGGTCCTCACCACTCAACTACATCCACTCGCTAGTGTCCCTGCTCCCTCCTTCAGCCATCGGGTCTTTATCTCTGGCTTCTCACTGTCTGGCATGAGGAAGCACTCATGCTCCTGATTGTTCCATCAAAATGAGTAGCTCCCATCTCCCCTCCCCTCAAGGCCCTGCCATGGGCTTTCCAAGATGGCAGCAAGCTAAGTAGAAGCCATGGGCCATGCATGGTCTGCCCCAATGTGCTTTTCCAGCCCCAGATTTCTCTCTCTGCCCAACACAGGTTCCAGGTAAGGAAGGAAAGCCTTACCCATGCTGTTCCCTCTGCCTGATATTTGCTCCCCGCTTCCAGTCCTCCCTGGCTCAGTGACTTCCAGCTCATTCTTCAAGGTGTAAATCAAAATGCCTTCTGCCAAACACCGGTTGTCACGCTTTGCTCTGACCCCCCAGGGCAGTGTGACGCTCTCCCATGAGCACACTTCCTGCATTACGTTTCATGTGTCCATTCATGGGATTATCTTCCATGTGAGACTGTGAGTCCTGTCTTTCAGCATTGATTTCCTAAAGCCTAGCACATCCCACTGGGACCGCAGTTGATTCCTTGAAAGATGGGAGGAAGGGGAAGGAGGTGAGGGCAGGGGCAAGAGAAGGAAAGGGCGGCCTCATTCCTTGTTTGTTCCAACACTGGCTGAGGTGCATGTTGTGGCTGAGATTAAAAGGAGAAGAGCGGGAAAACGGAGGGTTTGGGCCTAGAAGGGGTTAAAATTTAAGCTTAGTGGGCCTGAAGTCTTCTCCCACATCATTTAGCGAGATGTCTCTTCCCGGGTTCGGGACACACAGAGCAAGGGGACTCACTGACACCTGCCTTGCTCTCTTTGCCCCTGGCTGCACTGGAATTGGGGTGAAGTTTTTCAATTTAATTCAGTTTGTAGCATGAGTTAGATCAGTCAGAGTCCAGTGGTCAGAGTATTACAAGAGCCTTACCGGAATGGTGAGTCTGAAAAAACCAAAGGGCTATGTGGTCTGTGTTGATGTCACTTTCCAAAGCAGCGATCACTGTTGTCACGAGCAACCTCAGGCCTGACTGGTCCTCACCCACGTATTCCTGACACAGCCAGTGGCTATGTGCTGGGAGGATTCCCTCCACACAGTGATGACATTCAGTTAAGCCACAGTTTCCTTGACCCGGGAGGAAACCCGTGTGGTTTGGGGTTGGGGGCGTGGATGAGCAAGCCCAGATTTTTTTCTCCTTGCCCCGTGGCTTTAAATTGCAACTTCTCTTTTAATTTTCCATTATGCAGTGAACACATGTGTGCCAGAAGTGGACAAATGTGTTCCGTCTGGGAGGGTGATCCCAGACAGCAATAAATTAAAGTCTGTGTACAGACATGCCAAAAATGTGGCCGCGTGGTGGGGTGTCCCTGGGACCAGTCACCTCCTCCACAGTCTGCTTGGTGGCTGCAGGCCTTTGGCCTGACGCCTCTGTCAATAGATTTTGCTTTGTATTTGGAAACTGTCTTTCCATCAAGTCGCCGCAGAGGCAAGATGGGAGGGTTGCCTGTGAGGCTTTGCTGGGCACGTCTGTCCCAGGCAGCCTCGGGGAGCTTCTAGGACAGTATCCTCCCAAGGGCATCATTCTCTTTCCTACACCAGAACAGCAATGACCTCAAAGCTGGTTCCCTCCCAAACTAAAGCACGGCCCAAGAAAAGCCTCCCCGCTCTTTCAGGGTTGAGCAGATAAACTACCTATAATGCTTTAAAAAAAAAAAAAAAAAAAGAGGGGCGCCTGGGTGGCGCAGTCGGTTAAGCGTCCGACTTCAACCAGGTCACGATCTCACGGTCCGTGAGTTCGAGCCCCGCGTCGGGCTCTGGGCTGATGGCTCAGAGCCTGGAGCCTGTTCCCGATTCTGTGTCTCCCTCTCTCTCTGCCCCTCGCCCGTTCATGCTCTGTCTCTCTCTGTCCCAAAAATAAATAAACGTTGAAAAAAAAAAATTAAAAAAAAAAATTAAAAAATAAAAAAAAAAAAAGAAAGAAAAGAAACAACATTTTTAAGCTTACAGGAGTAATACATGCTTAATGCACACAACTTAGATGGTAGAGTGGGAAAAAAAAGCCACCCATAATCCCACCTTCAAAGATACATACTGTGACTGTTTTAGCATGACTTCTTTCAATATTTTTCCATGCCATGCTACCCTTTTAAACATGCAAAACCCCTTTTAAAGCTGTCAGACTCCGGGGTGGCTCAGTCGCTTAAGTGTCTGACTTCAGCTCAGGTCATGATGTCTTTCTTCGTCTTGGGAGTTGGAGCCCCACATCGGGCTCTGTGCTGACAGCTCAGAGCCTGGATCCTGCTTGGGATCTTATGTCTCCCTCTCTCTCTGCCCCTCCCCTGCTCACGGTCTGTCTTTCTCCGTCTTCCAAAAATGAATAAATGCTATAAAAAAAAATAAAAAGCTGGCAGACTCCAGCTCCCTTAGCTGTCCCTCACATTATCCAATTAGTGCTTTCCCCTAAGTACTGGAAACTTTTACTTATTCCACATGAGAGAGTCCAGCTGGTGGAGCGCTAGCGCCTCTGACTCCCCATGCTCTTCTGAAGAAGCCAGCCACAGAGGGAAGTGGCCTGGAGACAAGGGAAGGACAAAGTCCTTACGTAAGTCCAGCCAGAGAGCCCCAAACGGGAGCACCAGGTCCTTTAGCAGCAGCCCTGCGAATGGAGGGATGCTGCATCCAAAGGGCTCTGGTCTGACCCTGACTTTGATGCCCTTTTCCTTCGGAAAACCTCTACTGCCCTGACCGCATCCTGTCCTGTTGCTAGCATGTGTGTGTGCTCTTCCCTGTTGGGCCAGAAGCAGCCTCTGAACTGCTCATGTGATGATGGTCTCGGGCGCCCCCACACCAATGAGAGGGGTTGGCTGACCCAGGAGGCGATCTTGACATCTGCTTGCTTCCCCGAGAGCCTCCGAGCCCAGCAGGTGCCCAGCGAGTAGCTGTTGATTGACTGATAGGACGCAATTCGAGATGGGTGTTTGTGGCAGGAGTTGTGACAGTCCTGCGACAGGAGGAAAGACTCCCAGCATTGATGCGGAGCCTCACAGAAGCCCTCAGAGTGGCCGAGAGGAAGCAGGCAATGAGTCTACCAGCCGCTGCCTGCGCCAGCCACACGGCCTCTCGATGAGCCACACAGTACACAGACCGTGCTTTTTCAGAAAATTATTTTTTCCTTTCTCACTTTCCATGGAAACTCAAAATAGCAACCAAAAAGAAAAAAAAAACACACAAAACAAAACAAAAAAACAGCTGAGCTCCCTCTCTGCCTGCAAAACCATCCCCAGGCCGTACTGTGATCATAGAGGCCCTGGTGAAGACAGGGTTCTAGATCCCTCTAAAAGAGCTTTCTAACTGGGCACTGCACACTCATGAGGTGAAAGCGGGTTCTGAGGTGGTGTGCTTTCTTCCAGTTGAGAAAAGTGGGTTTCTTCCAGGTCTTAGAGCTCAGCTTGCTGTTGTGGTGACGGTCCCCTTTCACTGTGATGTCGGTGAGGAGGTGTGGACTGCCCAGCAAGGGACGATGTGGCAGAGGGTAGATGCCTTCCAGGGGGACTTTGATTGGAACATTCTTTTTGAGATGCCTCCCAGGGTGTGCTGTTATGCCCAGTCACTGCAGGGCAGCCTGGCAGAATGGGGAAAACTCTGGGCTTGGAATCAGGAAATCCCAGTTCTGGTATCACATCAGGTACCTGAGAGGCTTTGAGCACATTGTTTCACCTTCCTTAGGAAACGTGAAGGGCGGACAGGCTGGTTTCTGAAGGGATATCCTCATCCAGCCTCAGCACTCTGTGCCCCCAGCCCACTCCCAGATTATGTGTACACCATCCCTTTCCATTCCCTGAAAAACCAGGTTGTTTCCCTTTCAGCTGGCAGGGTCGGCCGTCATTGGTTTTGGACTATGGTTTCGGTTTGGAGGCACCATGAAGGACTTCTCATCAGAGGACAAGTCCCCGGAGTATTTCTACATGGGTGAGTGACCCCAGCTTGCTCCTCTAAGCTTTACCGGAGCTGCCCGGAGGCTTAGGGCAGAACCCGCACCTGGACTTATGGAGGGGAAGTGAGGATGCAAAACCTGACCCCTGTAGACTCCACCTGGCCCCGAGGGTGCAGGGGCCATGTGGCCATGGCAGGCGAGGACCCTGCACCCCTACCCTGCCCGTTCCTCACATGGATCAAGAAAGACCAGTGTGGGAGGACCAGGACCGACCCACTGTGCTTCTCTCAGCCACATCTCATTTCCAAAGAGTTAGAAGGTTGCCTCTTGCCCTCCGAATGAGGTGGGTGTGCCACAAAATCAGTCATCTGCTTGTCTGTCTGGGCTGATGGGGTCCCTGCCGAGTCAGGTTTTTTTGTGTGTGATCTGCTATTTTAAATTGTCATAAGAGAGACACAATTCAAAGTGAGGAGACATCTCAAAGTTTGGAGGTGCTCAGTCCATCCCTAACTAGGGCCTTCAGAAGGCAGGGCTCCCTACCCAGGGAAGAGGCTGCCTCCCCCGCCCAGCAGGAGGAAAGGGATGAGGGCTGCGAGGGCAGCCTGCAGTTCTGAGGCAGTGTGGTCAGTAATAGGGGCTGAGCATTTCCCCGGGTTTAGTCCCTCTGATCTACTCCTCATCCTCTTCTGCGAATGTCCTCACTCTCCAGCCGCGTGCACCCAGACTCTAGACTTCAAAAAGCTCCAGACCGTTGTCACTGCAGGTCATAGCCCCATGTGACTGGCCATTTCACCGTCTGTAGCAGCCACACGGTCCGCGTCAGTTGCTGGGGGAGAAGCAGGGCCCTGTGCAAGTCCTTTGCTCCCAGCACGGAGAAGAGCAACGTTCACTGCCGGGCCGGGGGGACTGAGCACCCAGGCTCAGTCCACACCAGGAAGGGCCACCCACATCTGTGTCACCTCCTGTTCCTGGCACCTTTCACACACTGCCTCCTCCTGCAGAGAGCAGCCAGATCGGCGAGGATACTTCCAGGAGCAAGTAACAAGAAAACCTACTACAAGACGGGTAACTGTAAGGACACTCCACATTCATCAAATCTTAGATGCAGTCTTTTGTAAAACACACAATTATTTTAAGTTCCACCTCGAGGTGGGAAAGAAGAAATGCTGCCAATTCAGCCATGACCGCCCCTAAAATATGCATGCTAATTTTAGAAACATTAAAGTGTAAATATGTAAAATGTATATCGAAATTGATGAAACGTGGGGAGGGAGGAGTGGCGGTGGGGAGTCTCGTCTCCAGAGCTAGTTCTGGGTTCAGCAAAGTCATCAAGGAGCCAGGGTTTTTCCGTCTTTCCACCGGCAGTCCTTGGGATAACCTCAGACACCTCCCCTCGGGTTTAAAAGACAGCCGTTGTGGCTCCACGTCTCATGTCCTCATACGCAACCTCCAAAAGAGAAAAAAAAAAAGAAGTTTCACCTCGCGTGGCCCCTTTTAGGGATGAATGCCACCTTTGTCAGAAGACCCCCAGCAGACCTCTCCTCGCAGCTTATTGGCCAGGACTGTACCGTGTGTTCCAGCCTAAGCCAATCACGGCCGAGAAGAGAACTACTGTGACTGGCTCTCTGACTAATGGGGAGGCACCCTGGGCTTGGGAAGGGGCCCAGGCTCCCCGGAGGGCCTCTGACCCTTGGCCAAAGGCAGAGTTTTGTGCCAAGGACGGAGCGGAGGAATCTGCCATCGTGCTTAGCACCGAAATGCTCTTTTCCACTCACGTGGTTTCCAGGGAGTGCACACCCGTCCAGAGCCAGCACGCACATTTAACATATTTCTCCTTGAGGCACTCCTGGCTCTGAAAACCTCGTCTCCATCCCAGGGCAGGCCCCAGTGCCCCAAGACAAAGTTCGGCCTGTCCTTGTCCTGCGCCACCTCCCCAGGGATGCGCAGAAACAGTCAGGGGAGGGGAGCAGAAGGAATGAATCTCCCTGCCCCCCCCCAACCCCCATATGCTGCTGGTAGTCCAGGACCTGCTTATTTCATACTTGTTCCCCGCGATGTCTGACTCGGTTCAGCATAGTCACACCTCAGCACCCGCTGGATTAGCCAGCGTGGTTTGATCCTGTTGTCCTGGGATTCTTGCCTCTTAGACATGTGCAGTAATAAACAGCAGACAACAATCACAAGCAAACTGACGAGTGGCACAAGCGTAACCACTGAATTTGGAAGTAGAAGGGGCGCCTGGCTGGCTCAGTGGGGGGAGCATGCAACCCTTGATCTCGGGGTCATGGGTTCAAACCCCATATTGGGCATAGAGCCTACTAAAAAAAAAAGACGAAACAAAGAGAAAAGATTGTGTGCGAACAGTGGTGGTGTATGTGCCTGTGACTTTAGCAGTCACATGAAACCAGCGTCACAGATTTAGGAGACACTTCTAATAGCCACCTGGCCGACCCAGTCAGAAGAACATGCTACTCTTGATCTCAGGCTCATGAGTGTGTGCTCCACGTCGGGCCTAGAGCTTACCTTAAAAAAGGAGGAGAAGAAGAAGCAGTGAGAGAAAGCACTAGGGGCCGGCAGGACAGTCTCAGGTGGAGGGGGGCTTGAACGAGGCCTTGGAAGACAGGTGGGTTTCAGACAGACTGAATGAGTTGGGGAGAGCTTTACTCATGACTCGGAATTAGCACTGGCAAACATAAGGCAAGCAGTTACCCATCATTTCCCTCTCCTGGGGAAGTGATGGCTAATTGTTCCGGCTGCTCTCTTACCACAGTCTTCCTAACCTAGCCCCTCCAACCAACTATAGCTGATGCCCAGGGTCAACAATATTTTCTCTTCCTACTCTGAAGCCAGTAGTTACCTGATGGCGTAACATGACATCCGTCCCAATAAAACAGCGGAAATCTTTTGCTCTTGAAATCCAGGCACGCAGTGGTTCAGGGTTATTAACATTCAGTCTGTCTTCTCTTCACATGCTGTTGGCTTCGCACTGGCACCCTATTTATCCCCTCTTCCTCGGGAGGGACTCTCAAGACTTTCCATCAAAAGCTGCATTTCTGCCTTCAAGTGGAAGCTGGGGGGAGCCCGCCCTTTGCTAGAACCAAAACATGGGAAACATCAACCAGTTCACTTACAGGCAGACCTTCTCCTTCAAGGTGTTTGGCAATAAGTAATTGCCTAATGCCCAGCCACCTACCCACCTCCTCACCAAGTTTGAGGTTGACAGATGTATATCTCTATAATGCAGTTTCTGAGCTTGAACTGGAAATTTTCAGCACCAGTGAAGAAAACCCATTTTAAAAGGTCACGAAGGCCTGGGTTATGTGAAACACATGTACGAAAAGCTGTCTCCCTTTCAATGATGATAAGCGTCTGGTTATCTCGTGATCTCTTCCTGGCTGTTTTAATTTGGGGATTTCATCAACTGTGGGTTTATGCAAACATAGGTATTCATTCAAGCAGGGGTGCCTCTATTCTTTCCATTTTTTTAGAGGTTTCTCCATTTGGGAAAAAAAATATAACCTATTCATGGATGCATCACCCAGCATCCATGTAGACTGTAGAGTCGTGGGCACTGGAGTCACACAAAAAAGGATGAGAACGCTGTACTTTCTCCCACGTATCTTTGCAACCTATTCGAAAAGACTCACGGAGTTAACAACTCAAATTCTAATGGAAACTAGCACGTAAATGCCAGCTAAGTGGTATTTGCAGTGGGTGAATCAGGGGGCATTCTAAACTGGTGAGGCAAGGATCTGATGTAGGTTTGAAAGACCAGACTGTAATCAGTAAGTGGAAGCGAAATGAGGACGGTGAAGGTTGTAGGGCAAGACTGCACAAGGCATGTCCACAGGACAGTGTGACCAGTGAACCCAGGCTGGGCAGAGAACTCCGGTTGGAGTGTAACAGGTTGGGGCAAGGTGGGAAGTAGGACTCGAAGGGCCAGGGAGGGGGCGCCTGGGTCACTCGGTGGGTTAGGCATCTGAATCTTGATTTCAGCTCCAGTTATGTTCTCATGGTCTGTGAGATTGAGCCCCACGATGGGCTCTGCACTGACAGTGAGGAGCCTTCTTGGGATTCTCTCTCTGCCCCTCCCCTGCTCATGCGCTTGCTCTCTCTCTCTCCCCCCCTCAAA